CAAAGAATTGAGAAACTGAATGCTAATAATAAGGAGTGGAACTAACAATCAATACCTATTCCACTAACGTTACTGGCATGAAAGTAGGAAACTAATTACTGACCTATTCCACTAATGTTACTTGGCAGGAAAGTAGGAAACTAATTACTAACTACTTATTAAGAACTTTAACAGATATTATTACACAATTTGATTGAAAGAACAAAAAGGTAAATCACCAAATCATCTCGACAATGAGAAACGAGTTGAACTATTAAAGAGGTGAGGATGATTACATAATTGATGAGAACCTAACATCACTAATCTCATTGTAAACAATGGCGGTTTAGAGGGCGGCAGAGGATTAACAGAAAGAATATTGTTTATATTGAATTAGGAGAGACTAAGAGACATTTAATATATATATATCAACACTCCCCCTCAAGCTTGAGCATATAAGTCAAATGCACCAAGCTTGTAACATATATAATTAGTTCTGGATCTTCGCAGAGATTTTGTAAACACATCTGTCAATTGATCATTCGAGTTGACAAAACTTGTGGTGATGTCGCCTGACTCGATCTTCTCTCTGACAAAGTGACAGTCAATCTCAATATGTTTGGTCCGCTCATGGAAGACCGGATTTGAAGCAATCTGCAATGCAGCTTGATTATCACAAATAAGTGTCATTGGTCTTGCTTCTTCAATTTTAAGTTCCTTGAGCAACTGTTTTAACCAAACAAGTTCACATGTTGCCATCGCCATGGCTCTATACTCTGCCTCGGCGCTTGATCTTGCAACTACATTTTATTTCTTACTTTTCCAAGATATAAGGTTTCCTCCAACAAGTACACAATACCTAGAGGTGGATCGTCTATCAATTGATGATCCTGCCCAATCAGCATCAAGGTATCCAACTATCTGAGTATGTCCTTTATCTTCGTACACTAAACCTTTTCCTGGAGCACATTTGATGTATCTCAAAATCTGGATAACAGCATCCATGTGTTTCTGACAAGGAGAATTTAGGAACTGACTTACCACACTGACTGCAAAAGAAATGCCTGGACGAGTGACTGTGAGATAATTCAACTTTTCAACCAATCTTTTATACCTTCCCGAGTCTGATAGAGGCTCCCCCTGATTAGGTAGTAGTTTGACACTTGGATCCATAGGAGTATCAGGTGGTTCAGCGTTCAACAAACATGTTTCTTCCAAAATATCCATAGCATATTTCCGCTGAGAAATAACTAAACCATCTTTAGATTGGGCTACCTCAATACCCAAGATATATCAGAGTTTACCAAGATCTTTTGTCTGAAATTGATTCGAGAGATGTTGTTTAAACTGGAGTATTCCCTGCCCATCACTACCAGTTATGACAATATCCTCTACATACACAATAAGATAAATACACCCTTGGGCTGAGTGAGGATAAAAGACGGAATGGTCAGCTTCACAACGGACCATACCAAATTGTTGTACTACAGTGCTGAATCTGCCAAACCAAGCTCTCGGAGATTGTTTAAGACCATAAAGAGACTTGTGTAACCTATAAACCATATTCGATGACTCCCCCTGAGCAACAAACCCAGGTGGTTGCTCCATATATACTTCCTCTTCAAGATCACCATGTAAAAATGCATTTTTGATGTCAAGTTGATGAAGAGGCCAATGTCGAATGGCTGCAATGGCTAGAAGAAGTCTAACAGATGCCATCTTGGCTACAGGCGAGAAGGTATACTATAATCGAATCCAAAAATCTGAGTGTATCCTTTGTCTACCAAGCGAGTTTAAATCGATCAATCTTACCATCTGAACCAACTTTCACTGTATAAAGCCAACGACAGCCTACTAAAGATTTCCCAAGGGGTAGAGGAACCAGTTTCCAGGTACCGCTACTTTGAAGAGCACACATTTCATCAATCATTGCTTGCCTCCACTCAGCATGAAATAATGCTTCGCCTGGAGTGTTAGGAATAGAAACAGAAGACAAACAAGTATACTGCAAAGGAGAAAGACGATGATAACATAAATCAATATAATGTGGAGAAGGATTTCGTGTTTGACGTATACCTTTTCAAAGGGCAATCGAAAGATCGGAATCAGGTTGCAGGATTGGATCTGGTGATGGCGAGAGCGTCGGAGGAGAGTCTGCAATGACCTCAGGGACATGTACGACCTCAGGGACATGTACGACCTCAAGGACAGATACGACAGACGTTGGTTGACGATGCTGATATGTTTGAAGTGGACGAGAAGTTGGGGGATTAACCGTAGGGGCCACGTTCCCTAGAATGATGGGGGATAATGACATATGGGACTTCCGGAAGAGGTGTGGGAGTACTCTCCTGAAAGGGTTCCGGAGTTACTTGGCTGGACTCGAAATATGAAACAGACTCGAAAAATGTGACATCGGCCGACATGAGGTATCGTTGTAGGGTATGTGAATAGCAACGATAACCTTTTTGGGATCGATGATAACCAAGAAAAACACTTTAGTGATCGAGCTGATAGTTTATCAAGACCAGGAGAGAGATTGTGTACAAAACATGTAGACCCGAAGACTCCCGAAGACTCGGGGAGGAATTGGGTGAAGGGGGGAATGGGAAAAAGAATTGAATGAGGGATTTTATTGTTAAGGACAGATGATAGCATGCAATTTATAAGGTAACACGCCGTTAGGACAGCGTCTCTCCAAAACCGAAGTGGAACATTACCATGGAGAAATAGGGTCTGAGTGGTTTCTACAAGATGCCGATTTTTGCGTTCGGCTACCCCGTTTTATTGAGGTGTATGAGGACAAGATGTTTGGTGGAGAATACCATTACTTGACATAAAATTTTGAAATTGTTGGGATAAATATTCACGAGCATTAACACTTAAGGTACGAATAGACACACCAAACTGAGTTTTTATTTCTTTATAAAAATTTTCAAAAATAGAAAATTATTCTGATCTATTTTTCATTAAAAATAACCACGTGCAACGTGAAAAATCATCACTAAAGGTAACAAAATACTTAGACTCAAGAGTAGAGATAGTACGTGAGGGACCCAAAACATCATAGTGAACTAAAGCAAAAGGGGATGAAGCTCATTTATTGACTCGATTGGGAAATTGACTACGAGTGTGTTTCTCTAACTGACACGACTCACAATGTAAATTAGATACTTTCGATAAACTTGACACCAACTTCTGTAATTTGGGAAGACTAGGATAACCTAACTGAGCATGGATTGTAAGTGGAGAATCTTTGACTGAGCATGTATGAGATGACACTGAAAGGTAATAAAGGCCTTGAGACTCACATCCGACGCCAATTATCCGTCCCGAACTCCGATCCTGCAGGGTGACGTTACTATTAGTGAAGGTGGCAATACAATCAAGAGAACGAGTTAAACGACTGACTGAAAGTAAATTAAATGGACAATTAGGTACATAGAGAACAGAAGTAACAGAGAGAGAAGGTAGAATTTGAACAGTACAAATTCCTTCGGATCGGGTTTGAGAATCATTGGCAGAAGTTATTGTAGGTAAGAAACTAGAGGTAAAGAGGGAAGAGAAAAGATTTTTATCACCAGTGACATGATTAGACGCACCAGAATCAAGGACCCAAGGTCCAAGAGAAGGTGATTGAGAGAAGCAAACAGATGAATTACCAGTGTGTGCAACCGAAGCAGTAGAATTTGAGTTCTGATAATTCTGATACCACTTGAGGAAATCATCGTAGTTTGGCGTAAAGTTCTGAGGAGTAGTCATGAGTATCAGATTTGGAAAAGTTGCACGGTGGCGAGTGCGGTGGTGTTAAAATCGTCGGAATCGGCCGGGTCGAAGGAGGCGCTTTTGCCAGTAGGGTTAGTTTGCTGGAAGATTGTCGAAATTAATAGCGGCGGATGGCGGCAGCATTATAGTGGTTACCGGAGAATTTTGGAAAGTGGAAGGCAAATCGGAGTGATGACACGGTTTACAAAAAAAAAATTGTCACCGGAAAACAGTGAGTTAACCAGGTAAAACACGGTGAAGAATGGCCTCTTAGTAAGCTCTAGATACCATATTGAATTAGGAGAAACTAAGAGACATTTAGGTTAAACCGTGTGTTTTGAAAAACACTACAGAGACTTTATTATATATAGAGAGATTACAACTAATGTTATGATATAGTCGATGTGGGACTATTCTACATACAAATATTCTTAAAATTATATATATATATATATATATATATATATATATATATATATATATATATATATATATATATATATATATATATATATATATATATATATATATATATATATATATATATATATATATATATATATATATATATATATATATATATATATATATATATATATATATATATATATATATATCAACAGTTTACTTTGTGTTTCAGTTCTTGATTTGGGATAAAAAAGAGAAATAGAAAATCCATAAATCTCCATCTTATTGCTCAACCAACTGTGAAATTATATTCTTTTGGGTTAAATTTTCTCCTTATTTTACTTGCTGTGAAATTTTGTTTTTTCAACTGCGGCGAAATGACAGAGGCGTGAGGAATAAAGCGGTGACGGTGAAATGGATTCCATAGCTGTCAAAACTGAGAAATTGAATTTTAAAAAATAAAATAAAATAGTAAAACACATGGCATGATTAAGGGTGACAAAGTGGACAGCCTGCCCCGTTTAAGCCCGTACAAAAGCGGGGCGGGGCGGGCAAACTTAGGCATCCGAGCTCAAAAGTCAAGTCCGCCCTGTTTACTAACGAGTTGGCGGGCCGGCCCGCCGTTTAAGCCCGTACTAACGAGTTTACGGTCCGACCTCGGTCGAACCCCGATTCAACCTTAAACCTGTAAGCATGCCGGTTCAACGACCGGTTCGGTTATAATTACTTTGATTAATACAATGTTTAACTTCAAATATATTAGATACTCATTAAAATGCATTCATATATCCAAACAAAGTGAAAACTTAGCCTTTATTCAAGCAATGCATTTAAAGGAGAGAACTCACCAGACGTTTTAGCTTGTGTGAGTAATATTTTTGATGAGAAGGGTGTTTTTTTATATGATCATCCAAGTGACCTGCCCTGAAAAATAGGAATATTAGAACTCATTAGAATGCAAAAACACAGTGAAAATATCACCTGTGGGGGGTCAGAAAGATCAGAATGCATAGTAAATTTTACATCTATGATTGCATCCATGCATTGTTTTCGTAAGAATGCTGGTTGTTGATGCTATGCATCAATTAATAATAGATGTTTTTAATGCCCATCACAAACTGATTGGCATTATACATTGATAGTTTCCACACCAATAACCATCTGAATTAATATACTTGAAAAGAGAGGGCGAATACATAAATTCTTAGATGCTGCTTCAGAATAAAAATTTTAAGCTTACCCATCACAAAGAACAATACTACAATCAATGCATGTGGCCAAATTCGATGAGTTGTGGCATGCATTACAGTTTGCAGCTAACAAGTCTTTACCAATCTGGTGGCATCTGCACAAAAAAAGTCAACCAAATCTGCTGAGTTTGCTTCACTTCTTTGACAATATCCGCATCGAGCAGAAGTACAATCTTTCAAAAAGATATTCTCTTTAGAGAATTTAATAAAGAGCATTCAAAGCATATGCATATACATTAAACAGTAGTACAACTACAAACAATATGAGTTAGTTTCCACAGAAGAAATTAAATTCAAATAGAAAATATCCAAGCCATTCTATCTATAAAACACCTCTCCCTTTTATGCTCAAGGGTAGAAGCACTCGGAAAAAATTATTTTCTCTAGGGTCATACACAAATTCACCAATAAATAAGCACTGAGCAATGTGGACCTCTCTGCAAGAACTTATACTTATCATCCAAATTCCTTATAATCCAACAATGAATGCACACTTCGTAATATCAATGGACCAAGAAGAAAAACTGGAGGAAAAAGAAAAGGTAAAGAAACTGTAGAAAACTTATACTTATCATCCACATTCCTTATAATCCAACAATGAATGCACACTTCGTAATATCAATTGACCAAGAAGAAAAACTGGATGAAAAAGAAAAGGTAAAGAAACTGTAGAAAACTCAGTAGTAAACAAATAATGATTTATTGTCTTTGTATCATGCTAGAGAATGATAAAATAAAAATAGAGCACAAGGAACATAGAATTGCCAAGACAAGTAAGAGGAAATTGACAAACCTTTTATACAATCCAAGAAGATCCTTTGGAATGGAACTAGATCTATTACTTCCTCCCGCTATGGTCTATATTACAAAAAAATTCATTACCAAAAAAGAAAAAGGTGAACTTTTATGCAAAAATGGTATTCATGACAAACCTCACTGCAACTCTTTACTACACAGTCTTCAGCTAAATGCCCAGGTCTTTCACATTTCCAACTACAATAAAAACAAAACCAAATAACCATGGATAGACCAAATCAGAAAGTGGGAAGTGTACAAATTTTTCACACATGCATGGCACTGAACATGTGCAAGAACTTGTCATCCTTAAAAATATCAACGTTACAGTGTGTATCACCATATACTTGGACCACATATAAGATAAATAGGAGTGTATAATCGGGTGTTTTATGACAAGGCTTAACAAAGAGTGGCACGGTGTTAAATAGATAGGCTGCTGAACAAAATGCTTGGTCCCAATATTTCATTGGTAAGGATGCATGAGATAAGATTGTTATCCCATTTTTACACTTGAATTTTCCATTATGATGACGGGTATGGAGACATATAAGTCTGAATAATTCCCAACTCGGTGAGGAACTTACTTAATGGTCTATGTTCTCAACTCCAACCCGGTGATATGAACTTACTTGTATGTAGGTAGTAAGTACATACATATTGCATAAATAAAACTGAGGTGGAAAACATACAATGTACCTAACTCCCTTTCATCATCAGTACTCTTCACCAGTACAGTACCTAACTCTAATTTTCACCCTTACCCAACTCTTCTTCATCCATATCTAACTCTTCCGTATCAGTTTCTCTACTCCATCTGATTTTGTCTAATGTTCATCTTCTTGCTTATCACCTTTAGAGCCATCATTTCCTTTTGATCCTTCTTGTCCTAGGAAAACCAGATCTGAGTCTCGAGTTCCAAGTAAATTACACTGTTTTCCTAGCAAAAGTTGAACCTACTGCTGCTAAACCAGCTTTAGCTGATTAAAAATAGAAGATATCAATGCAAGTAGAATATGACACATGTCTGGCTAATAGCATCACTCTCTACTAGTATATTTGATTTACATCCAATCAAGTCTCATTATTTCCGACAAGATTTTCTCAGCTAAGAAATCAGCTCAGGGTGTTGGACCACTTTACAGTGTTATATAGTTATACACTATGTTTCTTTGACTATGCCTCAATAGGTTAAGGTTCATCAGCTGTTAGCTACAGGCTACAGCTGTCATGTTAGTCAAGTAGTTAAAGACGATTAAAGCTGCCTCGACTGCTTGAGTTTATAAATAGACTCATCACAGCTGTAACCACTAACTTTTCATATTAAAAAAACTCACAGTTTCAGATTCTCTCGGCCCTCTTTCTCACTCTAAATTTTTCCATAAGAATCAAAGTCTTCCAAAGAAAAAAGATATGTTCCAGAAACACAACCAAAATTGTCAGATAGTATGCAGAAAGTACATATTAAGCCATTTTTCTTTATTTCTATCATGTCATTTGAAAAACTAGAGACATGTCGAATTCTATAAGCACATACTGGTGTTTGATGAAGAAATATACCATTCATATGTGGAAAGACTAGATCTCTTTTTTGACCACCGATGTCGATTATAATCCCAGGTATCATCACTAAAGACGGGAACTGGTAAGGCATCCCTTATTCTAGATGAGGAGCAATCTTTAGCTTGGTCATGGGAGGATCCCTAAGAACATTATAGACGAAGAGAATATTTAGGAATTAGAATGATTAGAACTTATACAACTTATTTTACAGAAAAGTACCTCATTCAGTTTAAGAATTTCTAAAAGGTCATTTTTGCACTCCATGCTACATACGTCGTCATCTGTCTACAAAAGCCAATAAATATATTACACAAAAAACGAAACTTGAAAGGTAAAAGTTGAAGTGCATATTTATATCATACAAATCACCTCATTGCATATATATTCACCATATCTTCCACATATAAGACAAACAGGTTCTCCGGATACAGGATAACGCTGCTCATTTCGGCTTTTGACTCCATTAAATTCTTGTTTGTGACCTTAAGATAGCATTCAAATTCAACGATACGAACGGAAACAAGAAACAAAAAAATTTAAAAGGGTGTGCAAGCAGAGGTTTAAACTTGCAGGTTAAGAAACAAACCAGAATTTGGAAGAGTATGAGTTTCTTCACATTCTGAAGAAGCACTTTCATCACCTAAGTATTGACAAATATAATTGAAAACTATTAGAAGCACAGACAGACTGTCAGCTAATAGCATATTTACATTAATAGTATATTCTTAGAAAGGAAAAACAGCTATCACAAAACTTACTTGCATAATCCACCAAGGGTACAGCAGAATTAGGGTTTCCCTGGCACAGAGAAAGCAAAATATGAAAAGGAATGAGTAAAAACTAGGATCACATGAATCAATTTCCAACCAGTAACTGAAATTACCAAGACATGTTCAGTTAATTCAACGCGTTCACAGTTCTTAGACAATTCAACTTCCTTCCTGATCAAGACAAGTTATTACTATCAATTTTGGAAATTGCAAAACGTGAAAAGCAAAAATAATAGCATTAACATCGAAAATTGCAAATTGCATGCACATTGATATTACCTTCTTTTTTTAATGTAATCATAGTGGGACATAGAGGAAGGGAAATCGTCAACCTCATCCTTGTGGGGATTGTGACGGGACGGCGGTGGTCGGGGATGGCGGGGACGTTTGACAGAGGCGGTGGGAGTGGGAGCAGAAAGAGGTTGGTCGTCGGAAGTTACGTTGCCGGTGGCAATGTTGTAAGCTGAAGATTATAAAATTGGTGAGTGGAGAGTGAGAGAGGGATGAAATAAGAAGAGAGATGAGGGAAACAAACCATGGAGGTTCTGAAGAACGGAGGAGAGACTTAAGTTTTTGTTGTAAGAGATTGACGGATTCTTGTAGAAATTCGATCGAGTTGCCATTTCCTTTCAAAATGCGATGAATAATGTTGGAGAAGAAAGAAACCTTTTCAGAAATAAATATTGGAAAAGAACCAAATTCACGAAACCATTCCTGAAAAAAAAAAATAGTCGGGTAGGGTCTCTTTGATTATAGAGGTGTTTGCCTTTGAGTTTACATTACAAATCGGTTTTATCCTTGCAATTAGTCTAATTAAAACTTTTAATCAAAAGAGTTATATTGTAATATACTAATACTTTAAGGTTTATATATTTATATTAGATATCCAATTATTCTGCATGTACTGTGAAATGGGAGAAAGTATAAGAGAATTATAACTCAATTGCAGACCGAAAAAGGGAAACTTTTGTCTATTATTTCTGGTCTTCAAGATGAGGTAACTTTACTAAATATAAACTTCAAAACATGACCAAATATGTAAGAATGTTGAACAATCGGTGTGATATGTTAGATGAAATTCTTGAAGTTGGAAAAAGGGCTGAAAACTTAAAAGGTATAGGTTTTGATTATCAATCTCTTAAAGGAAAAATCCCTTGTGACAAAATTTATTCTTACTGAAAGGAAGTATGAGCCTATGATGTTACAACATCCTGTCAGACATCGGAAAACTCAAACTAAAGTCAAGTCCTTACCATGGAAGTGTTACTATTATGGGAAATATGGTCACATAAAACCTTTTTGTTATAGACTGTATGGTTATCATAAACATCCAAAACAACCTAGGGCTAATCATATGATGATTAAAAGTAGAAATGAGTGGAAACCTAAGGTTGTTGACACTAGTCTTATAGTCTATACTTGTCTTATAGCGTCATCTAGAGAAGACTGGTACTTTGACAGTGGATGTTCCCGACATGTGACAGGGGATAAGGAGTTTTTAGTAGATATTAAGTCTTATTCCACTAGTTTTGTCACATTTTTTATGGTGGTATTAAAGGTGAAATTAAAGGAGTATGAATGTTAGTGTGTAGTGGACTTCCTGGCCTAAAGATGTTCTTCTTGTAAAAGGATTGACTATTAATCTAATTAATATCAGCCAGTTATCTGATCAAGGTTTCAGAGTAAATTTCACCAAGTCAGAATGTTTGGTTACCAATGAGAAGAATGATGTTCTGATGAGAGGAGTTGGGTATAAAGACAATTGTTATCTGTGGGTACCATAAGAAACTAATAATTCCTCCACATGCTTAATATCCAAGGAAGATGAAGTCAAGTTGTGGCACCAGAAACTTGAGCATTTGAATCTCAAGGTATGAAGAAGATTATGTCTGAAGAAACTATTAGAGGTCTTCCAAAACTTAAGATTGAGGAAGGTAAGGTCTATGGTGAGTGTCAAATTTGGAAGCAAACCAAGATGTCACATCCAAAGTTGCAACATCAGAATACTTCCAAAGTGCTAGAACTTCTTCATATGGATCTAATGGGACCAATGCAGGTTGAAAGTCTGGGTGGAAAAAGGTATGCTTATGTGGTTGTTGATGATTTTTCAAAATTCACTTGGGTGAATTTTATCAAAGAAAAATCAGATGTCTTTTAGGTTTTCAAAGATTTATGTCCAAAGCTCCAAAGAGAAAGGAAAGTGGAATTGTAAGGATAAAAAATGATCATGGCAAGAAATTTGAAAACAACAAATTTGCTGAGTTTTTCTCCTCTGGAGGTATTAGCCATGAATTTTCTTCTCCCATTACCCTTCAACAAAATGGAGTTGTTGAGCGCGAGAATAGGACTCTACAAGAATCAGCTAGGGCCATTCTTCAAGCTAAGCATCTGCCATATCATTTTTAGGCTGAAGCTATGAATATTGCATGTTACATTCATAATAGGTTCACTTTGAGGACTGGAACTTCAGCTACACTCTATGAGTTGTGGAAAAGAATTGAAGCCTACTGTCAAATATTTTCATGTCCTTGGGAGTAAGTGTTACATCCTGGCTAATAGAGAACAAAGGGATTGATGTCGAAGACATATTGGAACATTTTCTCTGCATACTATGAGGCAGAAAGAGATACAGACATTGAATCCAACATTGATCCAAGAAGTACTGAACTAGATAGTTCTCAAACAAACAGAGGTTCCTCTATTGGAGTTCGGAAAGATCATCCAAAGGAACTCATTATAAGAAACCTTTATGAAGGGGTCACTACTAAGTCCAGAGAGGTGATATCAGATTCATGTTTTGTCTCTAACACTTAAACCTAAAAATTTAAAGGAGGCATTGACTGGTGAATTTTGGATTAATGTTATGCAAGAGGAGCTAGGTCAGTTCAAAAGAAATAAAGTATTTAGCACCCAGAACCGAAGGAATGAATTTCATTGGTACTAAATGGATTTACTTAAAATTATCTAAAGATGAAAAAGGTGTTGATGTGGATCAAAATTTGTATAGGAGTGTGATTGGTAGTTTGTTGTATCTTACAACTAGTAAATCCGACATTGGTTTTGATGTAGGAGTGTGCAAGATATCAGGTTGAACAAAAAATTAGCCACGTTACTCAAGTGAAAAGAATCTTGTAATATATAAATGGTACAAGTGTGTATGGTATATTATACTCTCACAGCACAAATTCCATGCTTGTAGGGTATTGTGATGCAGATTGGGCAGGTAGTGAAAATGACAGAAAGTGCACTTCTAGAGGATGTTTCTTATTTGGGAACAATCTTATATCCTGGTTCAGTAAAAATCAAAATTGTGTTTCATTGTCTACTATTGAGACTGAGTATATTGCAGTAGGAAATAGTTGCTCTCAACTATTTTAAATATCAACAAAAATACTTTTAATAGTTGTTCTCACTATATAAAGTTCTTCAAGAACTATATATAAAAAAAATTATTCATTCACAATCTTTCAGGGATGCTATATAAGTTCTTCAGGAACTATATAATAAATTATAATTTTGTTATCCTTCAGAGATACTTGATAAATTCTTCAACAACTATATAATAGGCTATTATTTTTCTATACTTCGTGGATGCTTATAAGTTCTTTATGAACTATATAACAAACTCATTGTTTTGTAATTCTTCAAGGATTCTTGATAATTTAATATGATATAATATCAAAATTCAACACAAGTAATGGAAAAGCTATCCTTCGTGAATGCTTATAAGTTCTTCAATAACTATATAACAAACTCATTATTTTGTAATTCTTCAGGGATTCTTGATAATTTAATTATATATATATATATATATATATATATATATATATATATATATATATATATATATATATATATATATATAATATATATATATATATATATATATATATATATATATATATATATATATATATATATCAAAATTTAACACGAATAATAGAAAAGAATAAAATAATAAACTAGTATTATCTCTGATAGCTAGAGCTTCAATTTTTTCCTTTTAAGGTTTGATAGAGTTTCTTACTGATAATGTGTTATGGAATGAATAAAATAATAGAAGAGGAAAGAGAAATGCGAGTTTATTATATTATTTTCATTCTGGGTGTCTGATTCAAGTACAATATGAGTCTTATTTATAGAATATATGTAATAAATGGAAAATCAATATAAAATCTCCTAACTTATGGACATCCATAATAATGTTATTTTTTAATAAAGCTTTCATTATAAAATATAAAGATGATACACCCAAAAAACAGGGGGACTAAAATCACCCCATTAAAAAGAAAAGAACCTAAATAAAAGTATATCTAATCTATTCTTTACAAAATCATCTCAAATTCCAATAGGAATCAAGTAAAAAACTATATTAGAATCGACGTTGAGACCTATATTTACAAAAAAGTCTAGGCACGAGTTTCCTTCCTTGTAAATATGTGAAATGAACAAGTTAGATATATTAGATGGATGTGTGGTAGAGAGCCACCTATTTCTTAACTCCCTAGAGACTAAAATATTGTTGGAGAAAGCTCTAACAACTAGACCATAATATGTTTCAATCCAAAGCTTAGCCCAACCGTGCTCAAGCGCCAAACTAATAGCAACAATCACCGTTAAAAATTACACAACCAACACAAAGGCAGAAGATAAATTTTTGCAAAAGCTAAAAGAAAATAACCATGCTCATTTCTGAAATACACCACAACCACTCACATTGAGGCCAAGACTGTACGCATTGTCATTGTTGCACTTGTACTAACCCAGGGACGAAGGACACCAGAGAACTTCTTTGATGTTGAGAGCTCTCGGAGGGAAGATAGTCACACCAAAAGCCATAACAAGAACAAAATCATTATAGATATGGAATATAAGTCAACAATGTTGTTTCCAACCAATTGAGTTTGAGTAGAGATCTAATTGATAGCATTTTTTGTAAGTTGGTTTGAGATTCTCATTCTTCAACTTATTCTCAGCGACCCAAATGTGGTTAAGAAAACGAGCATGCCCGCCACGTTT